GGTCACTCATGCGTATCCTTGACATATCATATCCGGAACATGTCCAATAATCATTGTTATGAATTTCAACCCAATAGCATGTATCAATTTTGAGAAATCGCAAAAAAACTGAAGACGCGTTTTGCTCACTGAAGCGTGAAAGCGTGGTCAGTCATGTATAAAATTTGCAATTTATGACGGGGGACTTATTATCTGCATGTGATGTAAATTTCAAGTCTCTGAGTGGTGTCGTTCTCGAGAAGAAGATGAAAATGTAAAATCCTATATTGCTCACTGGAGCGTATCGCCGAGGTCACTCATGCGTATCCTTGACATATCGTATCCGGAACATGTTCATTAATCATTGTTATGAATTTCAACCCAATAGCATGTATCAATTTTGAGAAATCGCAAAAAAACCGAAGACGCGTTTTGCTCACTGGAGCGTGAAAGCGTGGTCAGTAATGCATAAAATTTGCATTTTATTGCTAGCTGAGAACTTCTGCACATTTGAGGTGAATTTCAAGTCTGTAGGACCAATTTGAAAAAAAAATAATAAAAATAAATAATAATAATAGTAAATAAATAATAATAATAATAATAATAAAACACAGGAATACAATAGGTTCCCTGCTGACAAGCAGCGGGAAGCCTAATAAATAATAATAATAAAACACACGCTGACAAGCAGCGGGAAGCCTAATAAATAGCACCTTACTGTGACTGTGGATAATATATTGCATCTTTTTCAATTAATTTATTGACAGGGAAAGTTTGGTTTGCACCCCGCTCAACTATAATATCTTATACCAAACGGGAATTTATACAAATCACGTTATAAAGATATATTATATCAAAACAGTAGCTGCGTTATTAAATATAGTGTTGAATTTGTCAAACACTTAATTATTAATGTGATAGTAACATATTTTATAGAATACAAATATTTTTCTTATATGATCGGCACAAATTACACAACAGCAAAGTGCATTAGCAATAAAAAAGCGCTTTTTTATAATGGCAAATAACAACAGCCCTAGTTCAGAAGTCATGCCTATATAGAAAATCTTATACGTTGTTTTGGAATGAATTTATACTGTCACATGGACGGATTGGATATAACCCGGCGTGAATAACTTTTGAAGTGAGCCGGACCCAATGTCATGGAATGATAACCATTATATGGAAGAAAATAAAGAAGCCGACGTCCGGACGGGTCATAGATCAACAAGAGTTTGTTTAAAATAGGCAAATCGAAAAAAAAAATCTACTCTGTTATATATATATATATATATATATATATATATATATATATATAAACTGCATGGTGCAGTTGCTGATTGTATATTTATAAGACATTTGTTAGCGTAAAATGGAGTTTTTGTTTTGATCATTTACATGAGCATTCGGTTTTCATGACAACTTTTATTTATTGAAAATTATTTATAATCAGAAATTTTTATAACAAATAACGACTTCATTTCTTTGGCGTTCATATTTTTAATTTGTCAATTCTTGCATGACATGTAAATAATTGTCGTGCGTATAGGATTCTAATACACGGAAAGCACCTGATCGCTTTTTAAGTACAAAGGTTACAATTCGTCAATCGAGTATGACCGTCAACAGAGCTCCGCAGTGTGATCTTATGGTGCTACCTTGTAAATTTCGCATATGCCATAAAATACTGGTTTCAATGTACTAGAAAAGGGTATATATAGTCTTTGTATTTATAGTCATTGCACAATTTCCGATTTTTGAACATATAATTATCTTGATCAGTTTTGGCATAGAAAAATAAATATTAATGAGACCAATGGCTGTAAAGAACCAAATTACAATTAAAATATTTCCGTACTCAGGCCAAAAACGATGGAATAACAATAAAAAATTGCGGAACATCAATTTCCGGGGAACACCGACTGAATGGTATAGTAAATTATTTTCCATGGAACTAAGGAACTTATGACTTCCATTCTGAACGCAATTTGTCGGAATTGTAAAAAGTGAGAATACTCCAGAATTACTTTGATATCAATAAACCTTCAAAATCTTATATATACTTATCCTTGTCATTTGCAAAGAAAAATATGATAATGAGTCAATGAATTTTCAAAACTAAAAACCTTTGTTTTCGCATTGAATATGTCTTCGCCAATTGCTCCGAATTTTTTTTTGTCTAGCAAGTAATGGGCATAATAAATAACCTAGTAAGATTTAAAAAGTTTACCCGATGATAAGTTAAATCAGGCCCTAGACTTGTACATTTTGAACATCCTCATTAACAAGCATCCCATTGTACAGAATCTACATTGTATGAAACATGGTCGCGGGTAAATTGCCTATAAAATGCGTATATATAATAATAAAAAGAAATTTGACCGAAGCGGTGTTTTGTTGACAAAAGATTGATCTTTATACATCATAATACGTTAACAATTGCGAGACTTTTACAAGCAACTCCCGGTGATCATAAAATATCGTAACAGCGCAGTAATGTTTTGTTCATAAATCTCTATAAAAATATCTGGATCACACCGGAATAAATCTCTCTAAACTGTCTCACTACATAACAATATAAACTGCAGTCTGCTATAAAATATACCTATAAAAAAGAGAAAAAGCCTGCATCATGCAATCACCCCCCCCCCCCCCCCCCCCCAAATGGTTTCAAACTTTCAGTCAGTGTAATGGTGCACTTCATCTGTGTAGTGTGTACCAGGCTGTCGAAGAAGAAGCAATTGCTGAATGTGCGATTTTTCATGGAGTGATGCCGGTAGTCCGCTAGTTTTATACTATTTATATTTTATTACATTGTCATAAAAAAGTTGAGGTTGAGCGTCAAAGTTTCATGTTTCTGTATGCACTGCAAGTGTCACCTTTTAAAATTAGTGCATTTAAAATAGATATAACACTTATCAGAGTTATTCATTAATAATAAGAAGAAATGGTACTAATATTAGACTATGGTAAAATAGTACAATGACAGGTTTAGGTGCATTATTATAGTAATTTTGCAAGTGTTCATGTATTAACTAGAAAGCAATGTTAAAATATAGGACATTACATTACATATAGGTACAAGAAATAACCTTCGTACCGGTGGCGGTAGGTCATGCGACTTACACTGATTTGTGGCTGAGAATCGAGCTCGCATAACGAAAGCTAAAGACAGTTAGGAATTTCTTCAAGAAGATTTGTTTTCTGACAATGCTGTAAAAAGACATTTGTCAATTAGCTCATTGATCGGTACTGCTAGGGATTTGTTCAAAAAGATTGTTTTAAAACAATTGTTTTAAACAGGTTTTTAATCTTTAAAATGCCTTTTCTTTCTTCTTTTTGTATTAAATATGTTAAAATAAGAACAACATATGTACAAATACAAACTTGCCTGATCCATTATCCATCTATTATCCGTTATCGATGTATCGGCCTTTCAAGTTGTGGCACAATGTCCACAAACGTGGAAGGCGAAAAGAAGACGTAAGCCAGCGGTTCCCAAACTTTTTGTTCGTGCGGCGCCAATTATCAGGGAAAAACTCACGGCGCACTTACACGAAATAAAATGCTGCCTTTGAATAAAACAGAATTTTGTGATCGTAATAGAACACTACGTATAACTGAAAGTAAACGACATAAGAAGTAAAATGAATTTATTGGTGCATATGTTTATAGCATTTGAAAAAAAGAAAGAATAAAACATTCATAACAAATACAATATGACAAATATTCAATCATATATTAGTTACGGTACGTTTAACACAATTCTGTTGATTTTCGGGGCGCAATTAGCAAGAAGTCCAGTAATTTTGACCATACATTTTCCCAGTAGTTTCACGGCGATACGAATCAAAATCGATTAAAACAAGCCCTTGTAATAAAACAGGCTGTTTATTTTGAATAAAATAATAACTATGCATTCGTAACGTCGGCGGTCACGATTGACAGAATAAAAACAGAGTGTTCTCATTAATTAAAATAAAACAGCGACATTTCGGGTGAAATATCGGATCTTTTAGGACCTAAAAAAAATTTGAAAAAAATCAATAGCTTTCTGGTGACTACTTTCATCGTCAAATGCTGGAAATTTGAAATGGATTAGTCCACTAGTTATATAAAAAAGCGATTTTTTTTTTCGGGCTAAAAGTCGCCCTAATAAAAACAACGATTTAGAAAAACGAGACATATGGACACTTCGTGAATAGATAAATGATTTGAATAAATCTTGTTAGATTAAGATTACATTGAGCCATGTAGAGTCAAGGTCGAGATAATAATAACAGGTTTTGGCGTTCGCTGTCGCTGTGCATTGACAATAAGTTCAGCCTTATTTTTTTTATAATTGGATTGGATGCTCGCTCGCATGGACGTTTACAAGCTTTCTATCGGCAAATGATCAAAGTATAACAAATTACAAATCCCCTATATTTGTATCGCATAGTTCATAAACATAACTAATATTTCCATTTTTTTCCTAAAATCACCATTGCGTTATTTTGAAACGTCAATTTTTCAACTATTCCTTTCACACAACTGAAAATGGGACTCTCAACTTCACCTATAATTTTACTATAAACTGAATCTTTTATAAAATGACTTATGTAAATCATATCAAACTCGCACCTGAAGCAGTTCTACAAGTCGATGTTCAAAGTCATTACTGGAATCTTATCTGGAAAACAGATTGTTACTCTGCTATGGATAGAAATGATACATCTTATGCATGACATGATTATTAATTGATGATTCTCCTATAATACTAATAAATTGTTTTTAGTAATCACAAGCTACTATTTCGATAATGAGTATTTACATTTGTGTGATTTCTTGTATTTGTAGCAATTAAATTTTTCTGAAGATATAATCAAAATTTGAACTTATTTTCAAATTTGCCAAGCTTTTTAGGCTCCCAGTGTTATTTAGCGCTTAGGCGACATTCGAGAATCTAGTTTTTCCCCAATGAAATTATATAAACATTCCCCCATAGTAAAGAAGTTATTCTAACAATTCTCTTCACATGTCCTAGATATAAGCTATACTTTGATTGTTTGCATTTGTAATATTGTATATTATGGATGTTGACGACGTATTTGAAAGCATAGGTGGTGTAAGCAAATACCAGATTGCTGTAATTCTTGCTTCTGCATTTTCTCTTCTGGCAGCAACAATGTCTTCGCAACTGGCAGTATTTTTGAGCGCTACTCCTACATACAGGTATGTAAGACTAATAGTATTTTAAACAAAACTGCGTATCTGCCTGTTAGCATTGATGCAGTCGCTTTATCATTGAGGTGAGTGGCAGGGGTGATTTTCTTCCGATAGTTATTGCATTTGAATACAAATTCATAATGACGTATTATACTAAAACAATTTTTCTTGCTATACTCACGTCACTGACTTTACATTTTTCATCATAAGGCATGATGTCTCAAAACATAAAATCAATGATTTTAGGCCATTTTTTGAGCTCAACAAAGTGTATAATACATGACTAATTCAGTTTATTTACAAGAGCACATTTTCTCACTATCAAGATTACGTTGTCGAGATTAAATTTAGAATAGTTAGGTGAATGATCATATTTAACAATTTCATTGAATAAAAAGCATCGTAACATTTTGCTTTGTATCTTTGTTTTACAGATGTGCTCTACCTACATTGCACATAAACGCGTCAATGTTAACTCATAGCGAACTCGTCAACCTTTTTATACCGGTAAAACATTAATGATTATTAATTACATTTGCATTTAAATCTTTGTTACAATGAAGGAGGATTATTTTCCTTAATTAATTTGCAAATGTGAGGCATGAGATACATAAAATCTGTCTATCAGGTAATACCCGAGTAAATTTCGAGTCACTTTGACAACTAAAACTCAACTATTTAACTAACATGAGCCGCAGGAATTGAATTGACCATTGAAATGGCGCAAACAAACATCGATTTTGGCGAAATTTGGGCAATCGAGGTCAATGTGGTCAAATTACAACAACAAAAAGGGATATAAATAACTGTATTAATGAAATACTAGTGAGAAACTTTAAGAAAACCTTTTTGTATTAGAAGTACTATGTCAAAAAAGGTATAGATCCTATAGCTTCCGCAAAGTTGTTTGAATATCATACTACAAATAAATATTATTCTAATAATTATTCATCAAATTTAATCCATTTCATAAAGCCGGAAGATTCCTGCCAACGGTATGATTATAATTTGACTCAGTGTGAAGAAGAAAACAATCTTTCTTGCATAACTAATCAAACAGAAGTTCGAATTATCCCGTGTGATTATGGATATCATTACGATAAGACATATTACGACCAAACAACTATATCAGAAGTAAGTTACATTCATAATCAAAACTTTACTGAACAAGTAATTTTTTATTATGTATTTATGTTCATTTGAAACCAAGATTAACGGCATTTTCTTCGAATGACAGAAAGAATTTAGCCAATTTATTGAATTTCACATCATATTTAGGTAATATATTTTTTGCGGGAATTATGTATGTACAATATGCACAATAACTTTGGTAGGGTTTGGTAACTGTCGGTTAACTCATTTATCGTAGCACCCAAACAATATGCTGCTCGTTTGAGTTTTCGCTCATGCGAATAAGGCAAAATTTGTTTGATAGTTAAATATGTAAAAATATTTTTATTTTTAGTGGGATTTTATATGCGGGAGAGAAACGTTTGATTCGATAGCCAACTCTTGCATATTTCTTGGATTTTTTATGGGATCAGCTGCGTGTGGAATTTTAATGGACAAGTATATATATGATTAAAATTTTACTAACAAAAACTATGACAGAATTGAACGGTCACAGAATCTCACTACTGAAATTTCAAATTCTTTCCCACCATGCTGTTTCTTTCGATATCCATTATTCATTGATGAAGTACTGTAAAATTATTTCTCGATTTGAATGAAATAATATAGATTAATTAAAGCGTAATGTTCGTTACTAAATATTTATTCGAGATTTGATTGGGCCTATATCAATAATAGAGTCTATAATGTTGGATTGGGCAACACACCATGTTAATGTAAGGAATACGCTGTGTAAAAGATGAACACTGTGTAACTCCACAGAAACGAAATATTTATAAAACAAAAGCTGATATTCATACAAATTTCAGATTTGGGAGAAACACTGCGAGGTTGATCTGTTGCATTGTCTTTATCGTATCTGGATGTATTGCATCGTTCGTTCCGTTGTTTGGTGTTTATCTCGTGTTTCGAGTTATTATGGCAGGATCAGGACTTGCAGTTTATTTATGCGTGTTTACTTATGGTGAGCGATTTGAATGATCGGATCTATTGGATTGAAACACAAACCAAATTGTATATGGTGTAATAACATCAATATTGTAACCCGAATACAGGTCGGATGGGCCGCTTGTGGTCATCTAGTTGTTCTGCTATATGGAAACACTATGCGTATGTTTGGGAATGGATTGAGCACAGCTTACACTATAGATATCAGGGATGGCGAACCACTGACCCGCGGCTGTACATTTATGGCTAGCATGCATAAACGCATGTCAAATACCATCAATAAAATGATGTTATTTTATTCTTACAGTGACAGAAATTTCTCCTAAGGAATACCGAACTTTCTTTGTGACTGTATGTGCAGTTATATCGGGAGTTTCCCACACTATCCTTCCTCTTTTGGCATACCCATTTCGTTCGTGGAGGTCATTGTGCCTGGTGAACAGTTTGCTCGCGACTCCATTCCTTGGCATATATTTTCTGATTCCCGAGTCTCCAAGGTATGTTGAGTATATTGATTACCGGAACTTTTCTTGCATTTTCATACAAAATGATGATGAATTTTGTTCGAAAATATTTTATTCAGGTGGCTTATATGTAATGGCAGAGAAGATGACGCCAGAGAAGTACTCAAAAGAATTGCTAAAAGCAAAAACGTCGAACTTAATGAAGAAGTATTTCATAAAATACAATCAAACAAAGACTCGGAAGTATTTAAACTAAATCATTTTATACCCGTTTTTTCTCGTTTTTTTTTTGCCATTCATTTCTTTTATTTATTTTTTTTCCAGTTTCTGTGTTTCATTTTCCTGTTTTACTTTTTTGTCGCTAAATGTTTTTGGTTGATTACAGGAATGTGAAAGCAAGAAAAAATATTTCTACACTGATATTTTTCGAATGGCGAACATGAGGATGATAACAATAATTATTATGCTAGACTGGTTTGTAGTCAGCATGGTTTTCTATGGGCTCACGTTAAACGTTGGTCGACTTGCAGGTGAATGAGCGGGTGTATTAACTCTGAATCAGTATTTTTCCATGGGTATTTTGCGAATCAGATCTTTGCTTCAAAACCTGATTTTTAAACAACATAACATACAACAAATGTACATTTATTCATTTAAGCTTTACTTAATCGGTAGATATTACACGAGGTTATTTTAAAATAGAAAGACTTCGAGTAAAACAGTGAGCCTCATAGACCTCAGAGGGCATATGAAAATAATTATCATTCAAGAGACGTTTCCACCTTTACATCATCAGCAGTTGTTGGTCCAAGGTTTTGAGCTCAAGCATCATTTGAAAATATCTAAATATCATCAGATTGCACATATTTTTTTCAGGTGATCCGTACATAAATGCGACAGCAAATGCATTCATAGAAGTTCTTGGGTATAGTACTTATTTTATCGTAGCAAGAAAAATTGGATCGAAAACGACTACGGCCTTAGCATATTTTCTTGGTGCAATTTGTTGCATCTCCACCATGTTGCTTACAGAATTTTCTTGCGGAAATCAGGGTAAATTTGTTAGCTGTTTTTAATAATTGATTGTTTTAATTTGGATGGAATTTAATTCTTTGATTATATTTTAAGTATTTTCACATCATTTCAGCTCGTTATCACTTCGAAAACTCATTCTATCAAATTCTATTTATAATAATAAAAAGGTAGTATTTACTTAGAGTAGGACCGAAAAATGGTATCATGTTTTGTGTGCAATAAGAAACTATTTAAATTACTGACTACACGGTTTTTACTGTTGTAGACCTCCAGTATTATCTTTCGCTTCATCAAACAACAAATGGAATTAATTATGGCATAAATATATATATATTTATTATTCTCTTCCTAATATTCAAAATATAAGTTAATAATTACTGCTATATTGGTTTAAATAATATAATCTCTATACAAAATAGATATGATTGAAGCTGGTCGTTGGATCGCAATATCTGGAAAGTTTTTTGCTTCTTGGGCATTCCAAGGAATATACCAATTGACGGTAACTTTACATCCTACTGTTACAAGGTTTGTAATAACTTAATTAGGCTATTATAAAATTTGGAATTCTTCCATCATTGTTACGCCGGCGTATACAACTTTTTAGAGGAAAAGGAATGGCCCTAGGTTCAATGGCAGCAAGAGTTGGATCCATGATTATGCCTTTTACACTTCAAATTCAGAACTCAATTCCTTGGCTCACGCAGGTAAAATTATCATTATATTACGAATCGTATATGAGTGTTTTAGCCATCATTTTGTTCGAAGTAGTTCAAATATGCCAGTTTTAAATGGCGATTATCCAAATCGTTACTCTTGTCTCTCTACAGACGATATTTGGAACATTAGCTTTTATTGCCTGTAGTGCGACAATGCTTCTCCCAGAAACTCGTTCACTCTCGTTGCTTACAACAGTGGATGAAGCGGAAAATTTTTATCGAAAACATTTCGTTTTGAATTTTAAGAAAAATGGTGAGTTTTGTTTTAAATAAATAAAAACAATTGGAAAATACCTATGGTACCTAATTCAGGTTTTCTTTCAGTACAATACCTGAGTATTTTACTCTCTAACACGCTGATATATGAAAACCAATTCATGTTTTCTTTCAGTACGATGCCTGAGTATTTTACCCTTTAATACGCTGATATAAATTTACATAACTCCAGTTATAGATTCCCATTTTACAGTTGTGTAACTTTTGCTAATTTAATTGCTGTTTTAGTACCACAGTACCTTACTTCCGGTAAAATTTTTCCCAGTAAACTTTGCTGCAAAATTCAAAAGTCTTTTTTGCCCATATATGAATACAATATATAGAAGCACTAATGTGTATTACATTCGCTCATGTAGTGCCCTGCTCAACCATGTTTCCAGATTTCTTGCGCAAATGCTAATCTAAACAGATGAATGATAAATGCTTTTTCATATTTTATAGGAAAAATGGACAATGAACTCGTAGTCGAAATAGAAATGGAAAAGCAACAAGCATAATATAAAAGTCATAACACAGAATACATATTTCCATCTTTTATTAATTAATATAATTATCAATTATGATTCGCTGATTTATTCGTGTAAAAAATAACAATATTCAATATTGTTATTTTTTAATCAATAAAAAAAATAAACAATATTCGCACATTGCCAAAATTCATTTACAACTACCGGTACGTCATTTTACGTATATCACGTATATGTTATTTGAATTTTTTTTTTTCATGTCTGCAACAACTTTTTAATAAAACGAAATAAACGTTCAAACTTGAAATAAATTTTCTTTATTCTATGAATTAGAAAAGGCATAGTATATTAGAAAACCTGACAACTTTAAGGAATAGGATTAAGAAGTATCAAAAAAACAGTGATGTTAGAATTTTCATTTTATAATTTTTATATCTCACGCTTGCTTCAACTAGATTTTTGACTGTACTGTTACTTCTTTGAATCTATGCATAGTTTAGGGCAGGGTGGTCCAAGATTGTCGGCTCCGGAGGCCACAAAATTATTTTTGCATTGTTCGCGGGCCACAATTGTGCCATGAATAGGTAAACAGTACAATACAAACACTTCCGATCAGTATTTGTCATTTATTAAGCTAAAACATGTAAATACCCACTTAAACCTGCGAAATTGTTTTTATATCTCCATTAGTGTAAGATTTCAAACTTTTCATACCGGAAAAAATGCTTCCGCGAATGTAAGTGCTTTCGAACATCCATAAGATTTTCAAAGCAAAATGTTAACTTTATAAAATGCTCATTGATCACGAGATTCTGAAATGCCAATTAAAATTACATTCTTTTTTTATCCGACATATTTTACCTCCCATATCCAGTTAAAAATCTGTTTGCATTCGTCAGCTTTCTTTTCAAACTCATGTTTACGAAGTTACTTACAAAATACCTGCAGATTGATTGATTACCGAATGTGAGGTACAAAAGAGTGCTTACTGAATTTTCTGACATATAGGCAGCATTTTTTGTAATACTATTTGGGCTGGTTGCGAAAAACACCCGGTATAAATTATATTGTTAGACCATAACAATAATATTTGGTTATCAGGCCTAGCCAACCTAAGCTGATAGAATCTGCATTTGATTTTTAGTTTGATATGGTGCCAAAATTGTTAGCATATATTCGCGACTAAAAATCTTGTAAGCCAGATAACAATTTAGACCACCATTCAACTTCGACAGTCGCCTTAGCTATCCAGCCATACCACTGGTCAATTTAGTGACATTAGTGATGTAACAATATGTTAGCAAAATTTTCTGCTTAATTTTGTGACGAAATAACACCAAATGCGATTTTACCTAGCAAATGCGATTACACTCCGAATGCGACGCGGGCCACAAATAATGAGACTGCAGTCCACATGTGGCCCGCGGGCCTGGGTTTGGACCACTCTGGTTTAGGGTGTTACGTGAATTTTATTTCAAGCTGGGAAATACACGATTCTATTTGGGAATTCATTTAGGTAAAATATGGAGGAGGCCCGTGCGGTAACTTGACATAGTCAATCGAGCAGCGGTCATGACATTTAGTGATGCTTACTTTATGTGCTGTAAAATAGGGGCATGTTATGATATTGTGAGACGATAGTGCTGCTTAATCTCAAATATCTACTAGTTATAAAATAGGAAATATTGGGAAGTTTCATGGTATATAGATTGCCACATACTAATAGTAATTTGCACCTTGACAATGACATGCAAGGTTCCTCTCTAAGGTGCGCAACTGCGCCATTGCGCAGTACCACCAGACCACTTGCGTAGTATATTCTTATTCTCGCTCGTTCGCAACAATAGGTTGTCATATTTTCTAACGCCTATATCTAGAATGTCGGTGCGATTTTCACCCGTATTTTGGTTGCCATTGATCATTGTAATGTCACACAAGTGTCTGTTACGTCCAAGTACCATAACTTGAGTTGTCTAGAATAGATCTAGATTCATCTGGAACAGGCTATTTTTAGCCGCGCCTATGCCAACGCGGTCCGGTGTCGCATTTTGAAATTTTTATTGCGCGTTCATCCAACAATATTCGGCAATAAACATGGACACAGTGTATGCTAACTCAGCCCTAAAACATTTATGTTCACTAAAACAAACAGTTGCTTAGTATAAATTTCCATAGAAGGAACACTGATGAGACGGGCAATACAAAGCTAGAAATATGTTGCTTCCTGGTATTAGAGATTCTATGCAACCGTAACTGACGTGTGCCATATTGGAGTTAATACTACTAAAATGATGTCATGATGCCGTCTATAAGGGGCCCAAATTGCATTCGCATGTTATGAATAGCTGAAAAAACGTAGAGCATACAATTGAAGCTCTCTACAAAGTTGTTTTCAAATGCCAATTTGCCTATTTTCTCAGAGTCGCAATTTGTTCAAAGTTATGCCATCCGTTGCCAATTTGCACTTTATTTTTCAATAGGCGAAAAATTATCAGCTCAACCCTGAGCATTTCATAATATATAATTACTAGAACCGCGCGAATAAAGATACGTGAAACATATGGATATAGCGCAAAACAAAGGATTTTTTGACATATAAAATTGATTTGGTCCTATATACGAAAATAGAAAAGCGATAAGCGTGTAAAGCAATATAGTCAAAGCTTTGTAAAATATAACTAGTGAAATACCAGTAGCTTAGTGTAGGAGTGAATTCATCGCGTTAGCAAATGTAGTATTGATTGATATTAAAAAGATTTACAATATTTAGAAGAAACGCTACCTTCCTCTAATATAAATAATTTTTGTTCTCCTCGTGGCGGAGCAAGAACACAAGTTGACGAGTAGATGTCATTCAGTTAAATCAAATCACATGAATACGAACCTAATTCGTGATCGTTTATACCGCTCAATTTGTGTAAATTATTTGACTTAATTACTCAAAAGTTTTTTCTAATATGATCTGTATAGCTTATTAAATTAGTCTGGTCTCACAGCCTATCCCCAGTTATTTCATATTGTATCAAACTAAAAAATCCTGAGTATATGTTTACAATGATCACAGAAATTTGTTCAAAATCGGAACTAAAGTAAATTTAATATTTGGAACATTAAGTTAAATATCTGCTCCCTGGAAATAATATATATATATAAACCGAATTCATTTTGAACGGTAGAAAGCCGACATTTGAAGATTGATGTATTTCAGTGATATAGATTTCAACTACGACCATCTTACCTTCCGAATAACTGATTAAATGTTTTTGCGTTCACCAATTTTAGTCCACCCAGGCAACGAACATACATCCCACTTAATGTTCTATGATCACACTGACAGAGAGAAGATATTTCAGATTCAATGTTAGTAAACGCCGCTGCACCTCTGGAGAAAAGAATACAGCCCTCTGCCCTATAATATCCTAATGATTTTTGAAAACTTGACATTACCATATTTGGAAGTATAAAAATAAGCTGTGACCAAATGTAATATTTTGAGACATATGTTGTAACTAATTAAACCTGGATTGCAATTAAAAGGATCACCAGACAAAATTATTTAAATTGAGCCCTTTAACGCTGAGGTTACGGTAGCCCGAGGGTCCGAGAAAATTGTATTTAACACATTTCGAATTAATTTATGTCACTTTCAAATGTTGTTTCTACGAGCATCGTGAAAGCAGAAAAATTTTACTAGCCTCAGTTCTACCTTTTCTATACTTTTGGGGCAGTTAAATGAAGTTCTACACTCCTAATATGAAAAAGATCATCAACATCAACAACATGGTGAGTGTAACATAATTGTTTCAATGTGTTTGTGTAGATCAGGGTACCTCCATGGATTCCAGTGTAGCCCGCATTGTTGCAAAACCTGTTAAATTTCAACTTCTAGGCTTAAATCCAAATGATGTTCGTTTCAACCTGAGTATACAAATTTAGGTGTATGTTTATGATTTTAAAACGAAGCGTAGACAGAGGGGCGAGGAGTATAGTAGGGATAAGCACACTAAATACTATTAGTTAGTTTCCAGTTCCAGCCCATTGATCAGAGCGATAAGTCTATTCTTTGTGGTCTGTCATTGCCGGTACAGCTGTCAATTATACGTTTCCAAATCTTATTTTTCTGGTAAATATGATTGACAATGTGTTAACCATTTCGTTCAGATATTACAATTATCCTTATTGCTGGTCGTGTCTCGATTTGCCGCCTCCTCTTCTGAAAAATGCTACAAAATGTCTGGATGTCGTAATCTACGAGGGCAAAGTAATCATAAAGAAAATGATGTGTTCGCTGACGTCAATGAAAATCGAGGATCTTGTTCCCTCTGCACCTGCGTTAAAACGAAGCATTTCGTTGTAAGCACATTTAAAAGTTGTTGACGTTTGTCCTGTTTGCATATATGATTAATGGTTAATTTTTGCGTGCATTGCTTAAGTTTTTTAAAAATATGGGGTGATTTCTTTAAACTCAGTTTAAACACATTTAATTATTTGTTCGAAATGTTTCCTGTAATTTCAAAATGTCTTTTATTCATATGCTTATATTACATTTTCAGGCTTCATGCATGGTTATTAAAGTTGTCAACATGACAACCCCTGTTAGGAAAGCAGGATTATTGAAGCGCGTCGTAGATTTATTGGGAGAAAGAATGTCAGCAAGATTTGGTAACGATAGAGAAGTTGAACTATCTGAAGAGGAAGCGGTACAGGTCGAATGTGAATATGAGACCATTCCTGTATATGACAAAGAAAAGCAAATTCTACAATTCCATTTTATTAACTACGTGCTTACGACGTGGGAATCCTACTGCTGTTTAAAGTAAGTTTTGTTCGGTATTATTCTGTTTAGTACGAGCATAATGTACCCTTTAATATATTATTAAATTCTGCCAATGCAATGAATGTACAGTGATCCCGCCATTTCGTTCAAAATTTAATAATTTGATGCATTGTTCATGTGGTAAATTGTGGTAAACAAAATTAAGAAAATTCGAAACATTCAAAATCAATACGATAATATTTGCATATTTCAGAACTCCTTCATATGGAAATGTTCATCCCTACTGCAAGGTTCAGTTTGATCACAAGTGCAAAGCTAAAGCAGTGTTAAGACACAAGCCACGGAGACGCTGCCCTATGCCATTGCTGCGGAATTTGACTGGATAATTTCAAAACAACAATATTTACTGATATAAGAAAGCCTACGACGCAAAAATTGTCAAAATGGAAGAAAGTGGCGAGCAAGATTTCTTCTTTGGTGCTTTGACTTGGAGACGTTTCCGTATACCAACTGTACAAATATAGCTGGATCAAGGAGACAACGGATACCAAGAACCCCCAGATTTTCAAAATGCTCTTGAAACACAATGTTATCAGATTCTAAAACATAGTGTGCGAACGATGGTGTTGAACAAGACAGACAAGTAATCGAGGTTTCGAAATATCAGAGGAATGAAATTAAAACTAATTTAGAGATCAAGCCACAGAAATTAATTATTGGTGGTTGAAATTCTTCAGATAGCTACGAACAGTTCTGCGAATATTGTGTTTCGTAACGTGCCAATTTGTTTGCGATTTAGCCAATTATGTCGTAAACCGAAATATTTTTAAGCAATTTGAGTGGCTGAAATTCCAATATTTGACTCAAAGGAATCAAACATGTGGCGTTGTGGGTCAGATAAGAGTAAACTCGAGTTTGATTTAAATTTTTTTGTTAATCTCAATTACAACATTATGCATTGTCAACATGAGCTGGAACTACACGATGTAAATAATCGCTGAACAATCACAATTCGCTGACGCGATACCAAGTTCCCACCGGCTTTGCTTGCAATTATATTTTGATTTAATTCGACTTAATGTTCTGTAGCGTGCCAAATAGTTCAGAGCAACTCGCCAAGTGTTGGGTTATTTAAATTAGCAAGCCTACTGTCTGACTTGAATGATTGATTCAATTTTAAATTGAAATTCATCTTCCAAATGTAGTTTATTTTATTCGTTTATACGTGTTGCCGACAATCCTTACATCAGTATTATCAGCTTACATTTACCTATCTAAACTGTAATATACAAAATTCCCAAAGTTTCTTGATAAATTCATTTTTTTCAAGTAATATTATATTGATAATTACTGGCGAATTTTATCCAAATATTATTTATTATTATCATTATCGCGATTCGGAATCAATATGATATTATTTTTAAAATGAAAGTTTACTAATAAATGTAATAAAACTACGTATTAAATCGATCACTCTAACGAATTTTCTATGTACTACTTCTAAGAATTTTTGTTTCCAAAATTGTATTTCCCATTTTTTCAATTGTTTTGTATATTGTCATCTTGTTCTTTTCAACGCTACGTGATTTGTTTCTTCAATTTTGTTTGTAATGAAAATAAAGGAATACAAAGAAATCTTATAATTGTGATAATATTCCAGCGACAGCATCAATGGGGAATACGCGCGAAAGAGGTTTTGTTAAGCCTTATTTTCTTTCAACCTTGTTACATTGGCGAGCAGATGTACAAAGAGAACAGTGTACGAATGAAGTACATAACAAAGGTGAACGTTGTTTCTTTCTTCAAAGCACTGGACAAGTAGAAATTCCATTTAAATCACATTGGAAACTAAAAAAATGAAGAAAAAGGCAAAACAAAAATTAAGAACTGAGAAATACCTTTCATTTTTTATTTTGGAATATTCCGATGTCTCTACTTGAAGAGTTTGGGATCTTGATTTCATGTTATCCATAAAACAAGCCCGAACAAACTACGGAAATATAGCATAAAATAGCTATTTGTGTTAGATGTATGAGCTCTCAACTAAATTTATTTATATATACATTTCCAAGAAAAAAGTTGTCCAAATACTTGACGTATTAACGATCACTTGTTTGCTGGCTATAAAATCCCATTAACATTATTTTCTTTATAAAACAACTACAGATATATTTTCATACTTACGGCACTATTAGTTTGAATAATATTCCAAAGGGATTATTTATAGATCTATTTCCCGCGAAATATGAAGGATTAGAATTTGTAAATGTTTAAATTTTCATTATTTAGAATTTTTTATCATACATTTTATTGGACTTTTGAATCTATCACCTCATTATAAACGTCTTATATAATTTTATGTTCAAGATCCATCTCCAAGATAGACAATTTTCGAAGATGTTTTTGATCGTAGGACTAATTAAATAAAAAGAATTTACCTGTAACCTGCAATTAAGTTTATTACAGTCGCGCCACGCAGAGCGGAAGATTTAAAAACATGTTATTTTGTGATACAATCTATAGCGACGTCGGTCCACCGCACAATGTTAATTTGTTCATTGTAACGTCGTTTATATTGAAATCGTGTCTTAGTGCGCCGTCAGTACAACCAACGTATTTTGAAACATTGTTGAATTTACAAATCTCCCAATTTTTCTTATAATGTTCCACAGGATTAAATGCCTGTCGCCCAGGCACAGACAGTCTCTTTTTAGCACGCTGATTGTGGATTATTTTTGATTTGGAATTCCAAACTATTTACGTTAATGGGCAAATTTACAAGCTGGAAGCGAAGTTCTATTTTTAGAAAATTGTCTAATTATGGATTCACTAACATTTCCTGTTCTCATTAATTTATAAGAATATTTAAACTATTTTATTTTATGCTCCCATTAAGTAAGGGCCTTGAAATACAAGATATCATTTAATTGTATAAGAAACCATGTAACACCATTGAAGGGTTTATGAAAATCGCTAAAACGGAGGCAACATACTTGATATTTATATAAATAGATATCTGTATCATCAAAGACGAACTAAAATCTATCTAACTCATCTACATCTAACGTCATTATTCTTCTTCCGAATGGGAACTTCTATACATGCTGTTCGATATTTATTCGATATTTATTTAATATAAACAATTTAGAGAATTTGATCGACTCGTATTTTTATTTATTTGCGTCGATACATAAGTGTACATGCGCAATGACCATGTTGAGTTGAGTAATTTACACGTGACGCAATATCATATCCTACTGGAAGTAGTTCTGCGAATTTCGACAATGCTCAAATAAAATAAAGGCTGTGAAAGTTGGTTTGTGATCATTTCATGAAATATACAATTACAATTCAAAGCTTAGTTAATTTGTAGTATTCTTGTGTGAATGTTTCACTAAAACAAGGCTGATGTAACTTTTACCATTTATAGGGGTTGACTAAAATCTAAAGTCCCCAATCAATATAAATGATACCAAGAGGAAGTTTATTACCAAATGATCTCAGCTAGTTAGTAGCCATTTCAAAATAAATTTCATCCAATTTTAATTAGATCATGAGATATTGCTTTGGAAATTTTTTATTAAATAATAAACCTAGAATACTTATACAGCTTGGACACCTACTTCGAATTTAAAAATGCACAGCTGTCGCTTACTCGATTACTCGCTAATTTGATAGAGAATCTTTATTTCATACTATCTACTGAAGCACTACTGTAATTGGCATTCCGAAAGTAAAATCCAAGTCATTTAACCATTCGTTTGAGTCAGATCAACTGACAATTTATCTGATATTTCTAAAATGAAGCCAGAGGTCAAATAAGTACAAAATCATTGCTCTGTCCAGATCTAGACTTTTATTTAAACGAGAAAATGCCTTTTAGAAAAAAGAACTATAGAGAACGCTATTTCTGAATACGGCAATAAAATTTTTGCACTAACTAATTCTTGCATCACACGAGCAATCACGTTATAAAGTATTGTTCCCACCGTAAGATATATTCTTACATCTTTCACAATATTTCCATCCCACGACAGATCGAAATCACCTGAAAATGACAGTATTATTAAATAGTTTTGTTTTGAAGGTTTTGTTTTAAATTAAGCTAAATCTATTCTCAATATATGAAAAAAATTGATTTTGGGTCTATTTACGCATTTGCGTAAAGCGTGCGTAATATATGAGCACGCTTACGTTCTCTTCACACGCATCACGCAAAATTTAATTTACACACAAGGAATTTTTAAATGAGAATACTTTTAATTCTGGTCGCATAACGATTATATGGGCTAAATTTAGAAATTTTAATTATATGTTTCCGTATAACTCGAATCTTCTTCAAACTAAATATTGAATCGTGCAACAGTTTGCCTTTCTTGCCAGAAACACGTTTGATGTAGCTGATACAACAAAGTTCCCAAAGGCATAAAATTTGCAATCTAAAATATTGCAATCAAGCAACACAATTTGTATTATCTCGTGGACAACTGACAAGGCAAATTATAATCATGGCTAACATAGTCTAATAATGTTTTGTATTGATTCCCATTCCATTGCTTCTCTACTAACACCGTCACCTCTTCAGCAAACTCAATGTTCTGAGTCCGGCCTCACCAGTACCGAGGCGCGAATTTCGTGCTCACATATTTGAGAATTACTATGTTGTTTGTATATATGAACTATACAAAAATTCATGAAATGCTTTGATTCAACCACTAAATCTGATTTTTAGTTTTGTTTTGATTTTGTCTTTCACGAGCGGCGACAGAATAGTGCGAGGTCAGCATTCATTATTTGCAACATTGTTGCATTTATAACGATTTTCAACATCATCAATTTGGTACATACGTCATACTGTATGAAGACATGCAAACGATTTTGCCAAGATTGAAATATTCAATTAAAAAAATGAAAAATCAAACAATTCAAATTATTAGCATGCTACCATGTGTTACATGATAATATGTAATCAATAACATCATTCCAAATATGGTATTGATTAGCATGTCTCGACAAAATGAAATCCATGTCACATTTTTGGCGACTATATATATAAATACAAGTTTCAATAATTTGCTAATTGCATTTTCGAGAAAATGTACTGACCTAACACACAACAAATTTTCGCTATTACGTTTTTATTAAGTTTATCTCTCAGCTCGTACCCTTAATTGATGTTGATTTGAAATTTCATAGGTCAGCGGTGATTAAATTAGCATCTATGTGCTTTCAATATTGTTAATACTACTTTTATGAATATTTGATTAGAATGCTGAATCGTTCATTTTGTGCAACATAAAGTTTTACCCTGGACTCCAGTGCATATTATTTTTAAAAGCATACTCTTTATAACTGAATATTTTAGACTATGACTCAATATAATGCAGATCAACATCCATTCATTGTTGGTGTGGCTAAAAATAAAATGATTACATTCTGTATATAACACTATAAATTTTGTCAAATAATCGGATAATCTTACCTTTCGCAAGACACTAGATATTACTGCATTAATAGTACACTAAACAGCTTCAGTATTTGATTCGCGGTAATAATTTCCAAACGATTATTCATTTTTTTTATCATAAAATTATGACATCACCAGACCTCATTTTTGGCGGAAAAAGGTGTAAAAGTTTGTCTGGTGTCGCCTCTATTAATTTCCATGCAACATACGATCAATACAATTAAATAGCCTTGTTGTCACCACAGTGACCCACTTAATTTTAGATTCATTAATGGTATTATAGCTTTGAACTTTTCGCTGTATAAAATTATGACCTATAAAGCCGAAACACATTCTATTTTTAGAAGTACTTTTTTCAAATAATAATAAAACAGTATTCAATGTTTAATGTCCATATTCAAAATTAAAAGGAATCAAATTAGAAGCATCGTATTGAATGAAATCATAATATTATTTCAAGTTCATCAGATTATGTTGCTCTTATATAACGAATATAAGGTGAAGTAAGCCAGTGAAGTAATGAAGTAGCAATAAAACATTCATCTAGGTCAGTGTTTCCCAAACTTTTTTCTGCCAGCGCCCCCTTGGACGACCTTCTGGCTAACAAACGCCTCCCTGACTGAGAATTAGAAATACATTTTTTCTCCATTTATCATTAGTCTACTCCAATTAGATGGATGAGCCTAGCGAAAGGCCGCCAGCACATCAATAGCCGGCTTCATTTTAGTCAAAAACAATCCTATGTTTCTTAAATATGTCGAATACGGTTCCTCTTGCAATCTAGAATCGCGGTATGGCACTCGAGTATGAGCTGTGGGGATTTTTTTTCTTCAATAATCCCTCATGTGAGGATATTTTAATTTGATTTAATTCCGGGGAGATAATATTAAACACTGAATTTTGGTTTG